TTGGCTGAAACTGGTTACAAGGTATCTTGGGAAAAGGCACAAATCTACAAACAAAAAGTCGGATATCTGGGATTTGACTTCAATTAGAGACACCATGTACTTAAACCAAAAAGAAAAGAGGTCATCTGCTCCATTACAGTCCCAAACATGAGAAAGAAACTACAAATTCCTTAGAGTTGCTGGGTTCTATAGAATCTGGATTTCTGAGTTCACAAAAAGCAAGGCCCCTATATGATGCCTTGCCTGGAAAAAAAGACTGATACTTTTTGACTAGAACCCAGATCAAGGAAAGCCTTTAATGACATTAGAAAGGCCCTCTCCACAGCCCCAACCTTGGGAATTCCAGATGTAACTGGAATCCAACTTGTTTGTTGGTAAATGACAACATGTGGTCTCAAAGGTGCTTACTCAGACTGTCAACCCCTGGGAGTGCCCAGTGGTCTATCTGTGCAAAAACTTAGATCCAGTTGCTAAGGGTTACCTCCCCCTCCACACTCTAACAGCCACTGTCCTTTGATCAAGAAAACTTACAAGCTCACCCTAGGCTGAGACCTAACTGTCTAGGTGCCACTTGCTGTACTGGACCTCCTGAATAACTGAGGACACTCCTGACCGTTCAACAGCCAGGTCACCCAGTACCAAGAACTCGTATGCAAAAATCTTCACCTGACTTATGACAATAAAGCCACTCAATCCTGACACATACCTTCCCATCATGCTGGGCCCACCAGACCATGACTGCCTGGCACTGACTGATAAACTATTCTTGAGCTGACCAGACTTAAAGATAGATCCTCTGACAGGTGCTGTAATGGTTGATACATTGTGTCAACTTGAGAAGGTTAGAAAGTTAACTGAATGACTCAGCAGGGGGCCAGGTTCCTCACTTTGTAAACACCCTAAGCCTGTGCAAGAGGAAGACATTGAGAGATGGTGTGGGCCAATAGACATCCTACAGTATTAGGGAGGAAAAGAGGTTTGCTCCCCACTTTTCCTCTTGTGGCTTTTGCTGTCTTCTGCTGCCTTGAACTGTTACCCCTGTGCCATGCCACCCTGCTTTGGAGCCAGCTGAGTATGGACTGAAACCTCCATAAACTGAAAACTAAATAAACCTTTCCTTCCTTAATTCTGGGTGTCAGGTATTTTGTCTCAGCAATGAAGCAGATGCTGAGTACACCATGTTTTCAGATGGAAGTAGTTCTGTTAAGAATAGAATCTGACAGGCCAGATATGGTGTGGTCATCTTGAACAAAGTTATTTAGGTTGAAGCTCTCCTGCAGGGATGATCTGCACAATGAACTGAACTGTGGGCCCTAATACATGCCCTCAATTGACCTGAAAGCAAAAAGTTCTACTGCTCCCTGCTGCTGTCTGAACACCCACCAAAGTGACAAAGCAGTTGCTAAAAGAGCATCCTGGGACAAAGAAACACCATACGAGTAAACTTAGAACTTCTAATGGACATTCCTCTTCACACCATGTTGGCAATTAAGAAAAAAAAAGATAAACAAAAACAAGAGCAAGCCACTGAGGGACCCAGCCCCTGGTGGACACTCCTGGATGGAGAAACTGTTGTCCCACAAAGCCTTAAAATACCACAATCTAACCGATGAAGGAGAAATAGCTATAAAAGAGCTCTTGGACCTACTATTACATCCCATTCCTGACCAGCATCTGCTCCACTATCGGCCAATGATGCCAAACCTGTACTAGAAAAAAGCCAGTCCAGAGGCTTAAGCCCCTTCCATGGATCTGACTGACTGAAACATCACCCTTTAAGAACATTGAAGTAAACCTTACAAAGGCTACAGGTATCTATTGGTGCTTATAAACACCTATTCAGGCTGACTCAAGGCATTCCTTACCTGAACTGAGAAGGCAACAAAAGTTTGTAGGTTCTTACTGTGAGAAATCATCTCTAGATATGGCCTACCCTGGACCATTGGCAGCAACAACAGGCCTGCATTTGTGGCTGAGATAGCTCAAAATGGGCAGTGCTATTAAAGAGTAAATAAAAAATGACATATAACATATAGGTCACAAAGCTCTAAAAAAGTTAAAAAGTTAAAACATAACCCTACAAAAGCTACCTCTACAAGTTTCAGAAATCCAGCCTTAGAACCACCATATCGGATGGAAAAGAGCCCATCCAGATGATTGCTGGAGAGTTTACCTGGACCAGACAGCTCCTCTGAAGCTCAATACCCTCAAAGCCCTGCTCTAGTTACTCCGGATACTGACCAGTCTATGCACAACTGAAGCTTGAGACACCATTCACAGGATTGCTCCATACCTAAATGCATTACTCTCCTTGAGTTTTGTGTCTTTTCAGGCTGCTTACCCCAGTCCTTGCTTTCACTTCAGCTTGAGTAAGTATTTGATATTGTATTGTTCAACTTGGCTTTTGATCCTGTCCCCCTGCTGTCTATGGCTTTTGCCTTAGCCCTACGGATGATTGCCCTGAGAGAATAGAAAACAATCAGTAAGATCCTTCCCCTTATTCTACAGTTGACCAAGATTTGATGAGCACCCAGGGCATATTGGATACTTTTCTAAATCAGATTCACTCCCTCACTCCCTTGCCCTTCTCTTCCTAAAAGACGAATGCTGCTACTATGCTAAAAATTGGGGATAATAAAGGAAACAACCCACGAAGCCCTGGTGGGAAAACTTCCAGTCTTGGGGAGCGTGGCTAGGACCTATCCTAGGACCACTGACAGCCCTAATGTCACTTCTTCTAGTTGGACCTTGTCTCAGAAGAGCATATGTAACATGCCCAGCAAAGATTTGCAAGGAAACTAAAAGGGGTGGGAAATATAGCAGAAAATTGCCCAGGTAACCACCAGTTTAATTTAGTACCAGTTCCTGTTACTTCTGTTTTCCAGAAATGACTGGTTACTATGATGTATGGCTGGTCACTATGATGCACACTGTATTAACCAATCCCCAATTGACAAGCCACTGCCTCTGCATTCCCTTTGCAATCCCATGAAACCTCCTTCCCTGAACCTTTGGGGCCTGATATTTTGGGAATAAATCTATATTAGAGTCCATTAACATAAATAAATCTACTTCCAAATCCTGGGTGACATTTTGGTGCTTCTGTTTACTACTACACTGTCTTCACCCTTCTGTTTTTACTAGAAAGATGCTTGCCATAATCTTCTAGAATTATATGTGAAAGTGCAGGCATTCTCTCTCTAGAATAGGCGTAAAGTTTAAATTACCTGCTTTCTTTTGTTAGTAAAAGTGAGTCAACTCATCTCTTTTGAAATATCTCCCCACACATTTTATACTTCCCCACTCAGTGTACCTGAAGAGTAACTGTAAACACAGAGCAGGAGTTCAGTGTGAGAAGGCACTTTCATGCTGTGAGGCACCTGGGAACTAACATCACCTTTCCAGGTGGGCACCTGGAAAGTAGCCAACCACAGGACCACCCTTCTCTGCTGTCCCTTGCCAGTGTGTTGTACTTTCTTAAGTTTGTATTCATTTTTCTTATGTTCTTATTTTATCTTCCTAAGTAAGAAGTAAGCTTCAAGAGCTAAAGCCATGCACATCATCCCATCTTCAGTGTCCTCTGTGCAGTGTGTGGTTAGTGTCTGGTACCTATTCAGCCACTCCCCAAGGGTGCTAGGGGTCTCTCCCTCCTGCTTAAGTCCCAGGGAGTAGGAAGAGACTGAAAATCCTAAGACAACATCTTGGACTGGTCTAGGAGTTTCAGGATGTTTCAAGCACATTATGTTTACTGTCCATTTATTTGTATCATTTTTCCACTCCACTATATGATTTGTTTTGGTTATTGTTATTGCAGAAAACCCTGCTTCCCAGACAGGATGCTGAAATGGGACAGGCTTCTTAGTGCTTTTGTGACAATCTCCTCATATCATTACCTCAGTTTTAATACTGAACATATGGAGATTTGAAATTGTCTAAAACATATTTTTAAGACCACTATAACTTGTGACCTCAAGTTGACCTTGATTTATCTGGCTTATGGGTCATGGATCCGTTATTTCAAGTTCTGAGGTATTTTGGGGTTGGGGAAAATGTTCAAACTCTTCCAAAATCTGAGAAAAAAGATCATGGTGGGAGAAAGGCATGGCTTTTTCTAAAATCTCTGCTGTTTGAAACATATCAAAAATCTCATGTTCATTGGTCACCCTATAATTTTAGTATGGCTTTGAATGCATTCATGTTATATGCCACCTTGAACACAGTTGTTCTTCCTTGCAGTGAGAGACTGGGTTCTCTGAGCAGGTTGAATATGTCATGGGAGTAAGCAAGTTCTATGACCCATTCTGTCACTGAAATGTGCTCTCAAGTGACTGTCTTAGTTACTTTCTCATTGCTGAGACACAATACCTGACTTTCACAACTTAAGGGAGGAGAGATTTATTTTGGCTCACAGTTTGTAGAAGTTTTGGTCCAGAGTTGGCTGCTCCAAAACAGGGCAGTATGGCAGAGGGGCATGAATAGCTCATAGCACAGCAGTGTGGAACAGAGACAGATCAAGGGATGAGGAAGGAGATAGCGCCTTCCAGCACATACCCCCAGTGACCCACTTTCTCCAACCAGGATTCACCTCCCAACATCACACTTGGCTATAAACTCATGGACAAATCCACTATGGACTAATCCACTATGAGTGTGACATCCCTATGATCCAATCACTTCTGAAATCCCCACTTCTGGGCACATGAGGCAGAGAACATCCAGATACAAACCATAACTATGCTCTTCACAGTGTATTTCATGAGGCACCCTGGGTCCAGGAAGATGTGGGCCAGATAAGACACTTGGTACAATGCAGAACTCACACCAGACTTCTGATCTCCAGAGCTATAGGGTGATAAATTTGTGTTTTCTTAAGCCACTAAATTTGTGGACAATAGAAAAATGAATAGTACCTGGTTATGTAATATTAACAGAATATTTTAGTTAAAGAAAAGACAAAGTAGACGTCAGAAGAAAATGAAAACGTCAAAAGCTTATTTATTGAGTTAAAATAAACACAAACTGCATATTTTCTTTGCAGTTACTTTTATTGGAAAAAACAAAACTTTTATTCAAAACAATCAAAATAAAAAACCAGTACACAAGATTGCACAATCAATTTACAAATGTTGGCAATTAAAGTTCAGTAGGCTAGTCTCACAGAATCCTTTTCTAAGTAGTTTCTCCATATGCAACACCCTGAAAACACAATTCCAGAGTTGGTGAGCTGAATCCAAAGTCCCCTTAGTCAAGCTCACTGCAGTTTATCACTGAACCATGTCAAACCCAGGTAAAGACTTTTCCACTAAGTTTTATGTTGATTGCTATTGAAAATTTCACATTCTTTCCATACTCCACCAGCCTTGTTCATAGAGATAGAATTCAACATTATCCATTGTCCTTCCTCATTTGTCATACAATACACTCTCTTCTACTCATACATAACTTCCACTGTCTTCACATTCTTCTCAGCCACCACTCTGCCATACAATAATATAATCTTTAAAAGGAGGAGAGAAAGAAAGGACCCACATGTCCAAAGGGATGAGAAAAAGAAAGGACCACTTCCTAGAAAATGGGTAGAGTAGGGATATCAAGGAGCCCTGAGGAGGGCTTTCTGCAATTAACCCTAGCTTGTAAAAAAACAATTCAGAAACTTAGAAAAAATCAAACCAGGTGTGTGTGTGTGTGTGTGTGTGTGTGTGTGTGTGTGTGTGTGTGTTTATTTTGCACCATTATGAATTGAACAGGAATAAGTCTAATAATGTACTCTTGTCACGACATGAAACACTGAATGTCAACAGCTTACAAATGAGCCTGTGAATATTTGGTTCTCTTCTGAGACATGGGACATGCAAAGGAGAGCAATTTTCAGAACCCTCCTCTGGACCCCATCATCACACATGTCACAGACAGACATGGTTTCTCTCTAAGGGACCAGAGTCTGCAGTCCTGATTAGATTCAAGCTCAAGGCACCATTTAGCAAATGCTACATGCTTTATTAATGAGTTTATGCACCTGTGAGGTCTACTTAGGACCCAGAAGTTAAAGAATAAGAGCACTCTCTTGAAAATATATTTTCTCTATGTATGTATCTTTTCAGAAATTATGTAAAAGCCTAATAGCTTATGGCTTTGATTTTTGTAACTAGTTTTGTCAAACAAACTTACACATAATGTTTCCCCTCAACAGTACTGATAAAATATAGGGCACCTTTTTCTTTCTTTCAAGTATTTGGGTAAAATAACATACCCTGAGAATTTGGGGTGCAAATCTACACCTTGTAAACTGTAGAATGAAACTCTTCAAGCACCACATAGGAAAATGTATGCTATGGTACTTTTAAATACAGACTATTATTGAATGTGTTTCCCCATGCACATATACATACTTATCATGAGATTAATGTAGTCAGCCTACTTAGGCATCAGTACTGTCCTGCAGTCCAAAGTATTATTTCAGGTAGCATGAGCATTCTACTTAGAGCAAACACACACATCCATTGCTGTGATAGATGAAGACAATAAAAATGCTGTAGGCCTTTTTAAGAGGCAAGTATGACAAAGTCAGATCTGAAATTAAGAAAAAGAAATCTGTATCACTAGCTATGTCCTAATGAAATAATGATGGATTTGAAATGCAGGTTTAGTATTTGAGATTTATCATAAAGTTGTCCAAGTGTAATCTACATCAGCTCATGTACTCAGTGACAAATATGTAAAGAGCCTATATGCTCAGTCACTATCTGCATATCTGGGCTTCATTAAATCCTGAGGGCGATTTCAGTGTCTTTGAGAAAATACATTCCAGTGAATTTAATGCTCACCCTGGTTACATATATGTTCAGTTTTCCAGAAAAATTCAACAGGGGCCTATTTAAACATAAACCTTTTACCACTAGGGAAAAAGAGAAAACAGGTCAAGATTTCTACAGTGTGTCCTGTGGTTCTTAGGCAGACTCAGCTGCCTGGGTATCCCTGAGAGGAAATCACAAAAACTCTGCTATCTGATCAGATTCAAGCTCAGGCTCACTGAGGACACGCTTCTTTAGGACTTTTATGTACATAAATCATAAAAGTGTAGTTCAGTAGTCAAAGGGATGTTGTTGAGGTAATCGTTTTGTGTCAGAGGGTTTCATCAACTTGTTTGATTCTGCTCTGGCTGAAAAAGGAAGGGTGTAACTACTTTGTTATGCTTACTTTGTATAACTACTTTGTTATCTCCATGCAACCTCAGGAAATGAGGTGATAAGTGAGACTGAGACTTACCTCATGGCCATGAATGTGTTCTTTCCTGCGGACTGAGGTAGTAAGGGGCCTAGCAGCTCTGCATGGTGTGATGGCACAGAGAACCCTAAAATATCAGTAGCTGACGCGGAACATAGAACACTATTCTAAAGTACCACTTGAACAATTTCTATATACTTGGTAACTTTCCAGATAGCTCAGCCTCTTACATAAAACCAAGAAATGAAAAGTTCCTTCTTTCCCAGTTTCTATCCCAGTTTTTCTCAGTGTGTGAGTTTAAGGCTTGGATCTGCTGGTGATAGATATTGATAAACAGCTCCTGGGCCCCTAAACCCTCAGCCACATTTATCTAAGAAAGGAGGGGGCTCAGCAACGCCACTGGGGTTTCCCAAAGTGATCTGGGTTTTAAATCAGGCGTACTAGTTGAGTGCTGCCCATCCAATAAGTTTCAAGAGTCATGTTCAGATACCTGAGATTTCATGGTGCTGTTTGAGTGGTATAGACTTAGGATCTCTGAAATGAGTTCTACTTTCCTATTTCAATATGAAGTAACCTCATATCCAGCCAGTCTCTCCCAGAAATGAGGATGGGCCAATGCTGGAAGATCTGTTCACTAGTGGTGAAAAATCAAGGACATTCTGGAGTCCATGTGCCCAGCTAAGACTTCTAGGTAAGGAAAGCATATTTCTGAACACGACCACCAGGCCATCTTTTCCATCCACAGAGACAAAGCATTGTGTTTCACATCTTACAGAGGATAAAGCTTCACTCCTGTCACAGCCCAGTGAGTGAGCGACTATGGCCAGAGCTGACTGTTCCTACTCAGATCTTTCTCTTTACCCAGGAGGACTTGCTTTGTTTTACAGAGTGAAATCCCTGTGGAGAAGGCCCTGAGAGTGAAATTGAGCATTTTTTAAAAGAGCCTAGATGGAAAGCATCACCTCAAAGTAATAAAAGTATATAAACCATACCAAATTCAGTCGTATGAGTAACATAAAATCCTGTGGTTTCAAGGAGAAATTTTAAATAGAAACTAAGTGTGGATGATCACTAAAATCAAAACAATGCTTTTCAAAAATTATTTGGATGCCTTAAACAAATAAGAAAGAGATTTCACAAACAAATCTTCGGAAAATGTTTAAGTTTTAAAGGTCTACTCCTTTAAAAAGTAATGAAGAATATTTGGATAATGTTGGCTGAGTATGTAGTGACAAAATTATTAATCAGGACACGCTTAACAGGTGTTTGTTCAACCAATTCTCCAGGTTGCGTGTGGAGCACTCTCTCTGACATCCCTCAGAAGGGTTACAACTGAGGGACTACCCAGTGTCAACAAAGACTCAGGGTCTGACTCCTCACATCTTGCAGGCCTGCCTCACAGGGAGCCACTCTAGGTCGCTGCTGCGATGGTGTGGGCCAGGGTGGCCGCCCCTGAATCAGCCCACATGCTACTGTCCTGATGGGGCGCACTTTGCACCCCAGAGAACCTGAGAGATGGAACACACAATCAAAGGGAATCACTGAAGAAGATAAAACTCTACACACTCACAACAAAGGCCGGATTCTGAAGAGAAAAACATACTTGTAACTGTTTCAGACTAACAGTGCAATTTTTAGTGCAACCACTATTGCTCCAATATCTCAAGTCCTCTTATTTCAGGGTAACAAACAGTGTCCTGGCATTGTACAAATAGGAAAAATTGAAACAGAGCACAAAGGTTAAAACCATCAATTTTTACAATTACACCTGAAATCATGCTAAACCCGAGAAAAGGACAGATAGAGCACAAGCAAGAAAATAAGGAGATTTGGCTGGTACATGACTCAAAGTACAGACTTATCATCTTTAAAGCCTACTGTCTGTGACAACTCTGCCAGCCAGGCTTGGCTAAGTCCCAGAACCTATAAGGCAACTTGTTACCCAAATGCCCGACTTGCTGTCTTGGTCTGAACAGAACTCATCTCATTCTGTTGTATGGTTGCATGGCTGAACCATGCAGACCTTCAAGGAGTCTCTGCCTAATAGTGCAGGAACAGGGTAGGGAGCAGAAAGCTAGATCCTGCATTAAAGAATAAAAAGAAATGGTTGTACAGGGAAGATACAGTCAATCACCTTCCTAAAACTGAAATAACAAAAACTGGCTTAGGAGACTTCTTCAGGAAAATGTATAAACTTACACACAGCTTATAAGAAGCAAAAATTAAGAATTATACACATGAAAGAACTTTTTCAGATGAATTCTTATTACGACACAACTTTCAGATCAAAGGAGGATAGTCCATATTTCTGTCTTGCTCCTACAAAAAGAAAAATCAAAGAAAATATTATTAGTGTAGAAGCACATCTTAATTTTAAAGAAGCAAGAAAAATGTTGAAACATATTCTGACTGCTGATTTAGTATCATTATAAATAATAATGAAGTTTACGTTTTAAAATGTGCTTGGCAAATGTATTTCTAGCCTACTACACATTACACTGACATAACTAAGTCAATCAGCTATTCCAAAATAGTATGAGTTAAATGTTTAACTCAATTGAAATTACTCATAACAAGGATAAAGTAGTTTATACTTTAGAAATACATACATTTCTAAAATCAGCATGCAGAACTGATTTTTAAATGAAATGGAAACATTTGAAATTTGTCTTGAGTCAGTAATCTAAGTGAACAAACTATACTAAGATTTCTTTAGTAAATTACCATTAACTAAATTATCTCACATAGTGCATTTTGTTTCAAATAAAATAAATTAATTAGAAGCTATAACTTAGTCAAACCCATTCCAAGTCAGCTCTGGTACAGTCTATCTATCTCTGTATGTTTCCGTATATCTACTAGAACTTTGCCAAAGGAATTTTTTAACAGCAAGAAGTTGATATTTGAAGATAATATTATGAAGACAGATACAGAGTGGACTCAAGGTTAGGGATTAAGAAGACTCTATCATGTGAAAAACAACCTCCAAGGAGCATCAAATAACAGCTATCCAACCAATTGCATGCAATCCGAGTAGCAAAGCAAGGGATATTTTAATCTTGTCATCTAGAAAAAGACCTGTTTAAATGCGTGTTTAAGAAAAAAGATGTCTATGGGAACAACTATGGTTTTATAGCTCACATACATATACTTTATATTTATTTTATTGTTTCATACTTTATGGTGAGAAATGACTTTCAGGATGAAAAAAAACTATTGTGTGTTTAAAGACCTTTCATTTGCTAATCTTGCTTTTCTACCCAAAGACACATACAACAACAGAAAAGATAAGGAGAAGAAACTATTAGAAGAGAAGAAACTATGAGTCTAAGAAGAATTTCAAAGTGGGTCAGATATTTTACCATAACCGGCTGCGTCTCATCACAAGGTTTGAAAGACCTGAACAGAATGAAAAGACACCAAGAAGGCAAAGAGGCAGGGGAGGAAGAGAGAGGGAAGAGAAGTGGGGCGGCAGGGTGGGACTCTGCAGTATAAGATGGTGATAGCAGTCTGAGAAATGCAGGAAAAGTCTGTCCCTATGATCTCCAAGGTTATACTCAGAGATAGACAGTGTATAATGATATTGCCCTTCAGGATATTCACAGGCCATCACCTCTGCTTCCACTGAAGAGGAGTTTGTTGGAAATCTTTAGTCTTTCCAATTCCTAGTAAGGGTTACATAGTAAGAACTGCCAGAGACCTGTCAGAGACGTCATGTGCATGTCTTGTGGTACAGTTGACCGGGAAGACATGAGTAGAGACGAAGGGTGGCTGCACTTGTCCCTGAGAGGTGGCAGGATGACATCGCAGGGTTTAAGATCCAGGACAACGTAACAGCTCAGCAGGATGATGGGACAGGCTGGCTTGCACCAAACGGACAGGAAAATCCCTACTGGCAGCTGGCAAGCGAGGCCCTGAGTTGTGTAACCTCTGAAGGCCACACACAGGACACTGGAGCATAGTACACAGCTGGGGGCCTGCCCACAGATGCCAGCACAGAGGATCATGACTGGGCATATGAAGAAAGAAGAGGGTCAGGGAGGAGCTCTGTCCTGAGGGATCTGGACACTTGCTGTGTGCCAGGTCACACTTCATTCGTACAGCTCTCCTGAAAAACGTCCCCCTGCCTAACAGGATACTAAGGCTCAAAGAGGTCAAGACACTTGCCTAGATGAGGACCCAAAGTGTTTGAGTGTGTGTCAGGATACCTGGCCTCAGGGCAATGTGCTCACACTTCAGTCAGAGTCGTACAGCCCCTCAGCTAAATGCTTCACCTGTGCCGCGAGGGGGGTCCCTGCTTCCTGCTCACCCCACACCCTTGCTCCACTTTTTGCACACCGAAACACTCCACAGGCCCTGGCATTCTCAGACTGGCTCAGATTTCTCTTGGGACAGAAAGTGTCCTGAATAAGGACAGCTAATTCTTTAACCAACATAAAAATGCAGGTAGACGCTTTGTGTGTATATTGGATATTGTCAGATTCAGGGTCAGTGTTTTAACTGAATCCCTTCTCTGTCTTTCTTGGCCTTTCTCTCAAACCCCGAACACACACACACACACACACACACACACACACACACACACACACACATTCCATAGCAGTGAACTGGCCAGCAGCTTTATTGCCTCTGGGGTAGGACTTCTATTTTCCTACAAATGAAGCTAGCAGTTAGGAAAATCAGCAGTGGGGCAGCCCCAAGGACAGAATGTGTCACATAAATAATCCTTTGCCATGGTGATTCATCAGCAGGCAAGGTGCAAAGCTGAAATTTTTCAAAGTTTGGTAGCAAGAAAGGCCTGGCAAAAAAAAGGACAAGTAAGAGAAGAGAAACAACGGACAGCGTGGGAGGAAGGGAGAGAGGGAGGCGCACAAGGCCCTCTACAACGATGAGGGGCAAACAGGAGAACTCGAGGCCGGGCAAAGAGTCCGTCAGGCTGAAGTGCTTGGGAGACGAGGAACCACAATGAGGAAGAAATGCAAATAACAAGGGAGAAGCTGGGCCTGGTAGACCAGACATCAGGAGAGCAACTCTTAGGAGAAAAAAAAAAAAAAAAAAGGCAAAGACAGCAGCCAACAGAGGTCCTGGTGTGGAAAATCCAGGGATCTTCTTAGCTCTGCTACACGAAACAGAGAAACAAGGGTCCCCTGCCTTCTCTGAGCCCCCGCTCCCTCTGGCAATTGTAAAGCAAAAGGGCAAGGTCTCGTGACCTCAGAAGTCCTCTGGGCAAACCCCCAGAACAAATGACTCCCTGAATCCAGCTCTCTCTCCCCACTGAATGAGCTGGATCCAAATTCAGGGAACAGAAGTAACTGAGAAGAAAAGAGGAAAGACAGAGATGTAGGAGCCACTTGAAGAATACTCAGAAATGAACAGACGAAGCCCTACAAGACAAAGCAGGAGCATTCAAGAGGAGCTAAATAATTGCAGTTCTCTAGCCCAGTACCTTATCTTTGAAAAGTAGAGCCTCAACTATTTATTTTGTTAATACCACATGGTCATATTATCTTTATGCCTTGCAAATGGTCCTCAGCGTCAAGTCTCAAAATTTCAAAACAAAAATATGGCATCAAATTAGGCGGGCAGGAGAGGCAATCCATCAGGGAAGGAAAAATACAGCTGCCTGCCTGCAGTGACAGAAAACAAAAACATAAAGAGTCTCAGCAAAAAGGCATCCAAGTCTCAACAAAATAAAGTGGGGACATTTGCAGTGGGTTGGGGTGTGGCTGGTGTGGGGTGTGCTACAGAGGGTCTCCTCTATGACCATCTGGCCAGGTGGGGCCAGCCGTGTGCAGTTACCACAATGGGCAGTAAGAGGATAAACAGCTGTAGTTAACAAGATGAACAATACTTATTAAATCAGTCAGACAGGTTGCAGCCTGCAAGGCTGGGTAAGTACTGGGATACTGACTGAAGAGAAGCAGGAAGAACCCATTTATAGAAGGAAAAAAAGAGCACTCATACTAGAGCCATCCGAAAAAGGGAACAGCAGGGAGTTACGCTCAAATATATAAGGGAAGAGAAAAGGAAAGCTCCCTGCTGCCATGTGGTGCTAAAAATAGGCAAGGAAATAGTTGCTCTCTGGGCTGGAAGGAACCTTAAAGGTTACAACAGCCCTCAAACCCTGGTGAATATGTGGGCTCAACCTCCTCCTGCAACAGCCAAGGCAGGTATGGGATTATGTTACCCAAATAAGTGAGGAAATGAGTGCATTTCCCTCAAATATGTATTTTACCCACATGCAGAAAGGCAAATGGAGACAGAGACATCCAGGAGCCTGACAGTGCATCCACCCTGCCAGCCTCCTTTGCCTCATACCCATCAAGGAGACGAGGGTGGCAGCAGGGAGTGCGGTGTAGCTGGGGGGAAAGCCAGCTCCACAGGGATCTCAGCAAAACCGCTTCTTCCGAAGTCCCAATTTATTTCTCTGTGAAATACTGTGATTGAATCCAGACATTTGTGTAACTCTACAGTGAAACCAAGACCAAAAACCGTATGCTAGGAAAATCCCTGCAACAAGGCTGATTTCAGAGGAAACACTGAACTTAAGCCACTTTTTAAACTTCTAAGACCATCCACAGGAGCACCTATTGGTGTTTTGAAATACTTGAACCATACTTTAAAGATTTATCATACAAAGAAAAGAATTTTATGGTTTTTTTTCTAAACTATCTGACTTTTTTTGAAAGTGAACTTTCAGGAGGGCAAATTTTAATTTATATATGAGCTTGGCTAACAAGGTTTTTTTACATGGACACGAAAAACTAACCTCTAGCTCCTGACAAGACTGTGTAAATCAAGAAGCCAGTATGTGCCTTTTATCCTTAGGGCTGTTTACTAAAAAAAAGTTGCACTTCCAAAAAGGGAAGCTTCAAAGATCACTACTGAAGTCTCAGTCCCACAAAACTCTGATTTATACCTGCTTCTGATGAAACACTTGCACCCCTATCCTCTCCAGGTACAGCGGCGGGAGGAAGGCTGAACACACAAGTGTGTCATGGCCAGTGTCCCCTCCTCCCATTCCCGAGGTACACATACCACCTGTCTAGGAGATTAGAACCCTTTCAAATACTGTCTATTCTTTTCCTTTGGCAAAACTAATCCTTGTCTTTGGTTCTCATCCCCATGCACACCGAATTTTTTATTTGCTACACCAGACAAATATGCATGACATATCCTTAACCTCTCCCTCCTTTATTCATGATTATCATACAGTGTGTGCCTGCTGTAGACTCTGGGAGAGGAACGATTCGATTATCAGTTTCTAGACCGAAACTAAAATGAGATTTGTATTTGCACCTGAATTCTTAGAAAAGTCCCAAGGATATCTGAACAGTTCCTAAAGTTGTCTTATAGTTCAATAAATGTAATGATGCATAAATAAAATAAGTGTCCCTTGACTTGAAATACACAGACACAGGTGAGGGAGAGACATCTGGAGACACATGAATGCTAGCTTGTCATGCCAGGAATTCCAGCAATCCTAATTCCTAATGTAAGGCTATTTCATTGTATGAAACAATAATGTTCTGTTCCTTTTCAGCAGAATATGGGAGCAGAAAAAATTATCTCTATTTTAGAAATGTAAATAAGATTTCTCTTGACTGTACCTCCCTTTTCATTCAGCATGATTTCAGAGGAATAGGAGTCCAGGAAGCATCTATGTCTCAGCCCTTGCCACTCTGAAGAGCATGGCAGTGTGAGGGGCAAATCTGTTCTCACAGTTCTGACACCTTCTTGCTCCTTTCTGAAAGTCTTTGCCCTTCTGTATTTGACCTGAGATGTCCTGGCTTAGACCAGCTCCCTGGGGTCAGGTTCCAGGACTGTGTTTACAGCAAGGACTCCTGTCAGAGTGCAGGTTAACCTAAGCGTCTGGAAGCTCTTTTTGCTGGTTTTCTTGCAGAAGGATTACTACAGGAATTCTCTTCTAGAGAGAGAGCATAGATATACAAATGAGGGCCTTGTGGGAGGAGCCAGAAGCGCTTTGGATTCACCTGCAGCAGCCCCAGACCAAAGGGCCACCCTACCCTAGAGCAACTGTGCTCCCAATCATCCCTCAATGAGGTCAAACTGTGTGCTTGGGTGTGCACATATGTGCATGTGCATGTGTGTGTATGCGTGTGAGATACATTAAGACCTCAGACTTGCCTAAGGAAAATCATCAGAAAATAAGATACAATCCTTTGTATAAAGCATTTTCAGTGGGAGAAGGGAGGGAAAGAAGAAGCATTTCTGCTGCTTTTGGAAAGACTTCCAAACAAGACGCGTCACTGTGCCTCCCTTTCCTCCTTGGGCAGCAAGCAGACTGCGATGTACCCTGTGAGCGGAGGGGTCCAGGCCCTGAAGCTACATCCACAAACAGACCCGACTTCCTTCTCCTTCTGCCAACCTTTCCCTAAGGCTGCAAGGGCAGGCAGAAGGTTCTCTTCCCTCCTACCTTCTCTGGGAGAAAGTTTAGACAATCTGCACAGGTCCAAGGGGAAAGGCTGGCCTGAGACTGTAGGTGGGTGAGTTACATGCCATAAACAGCCTGATTCTTGGGGCAGCCTTTCCAGCCGTGAATGTCTTGCTGCGAGCACAGAAGCAGGACTGCTCCTACTCATAAGGCCGATCCTCAGGGTAAAACACTCACCAGCAGCTGCCCATCCGCTCCGGTGCTCAGGTCATCTGTGCTCCACCACAAAGCTCATGGTAGTGCCGTCAAAGGAGGGTGGGGCGACGAGCCGCGGCCCCACGGGCTGCGAGGTGATGCTAATGACCGGCTTGGGGTGCAGCTGGGTGAAGCCCTTGGCCCCCACGAGCTGCGCTGCGGCCGAAGGGGCCGAGGAGGATGGAGAAGCCGGGGACTGGCCAGCGGCCACGAAGTAGGGGGCTTCAGAGAAGGCCACCGCGGCTGCTGCCTCTTTGCTGGGGGGCTCAGCAGCTACGGCGAGCTCGCTGCTCCCTGGCGTGTGCGCGATGGGGGTGGGGTGCAGAGCGCCCGTGGGCAGCATAGTGGGAAGGAAGCTGGGGTAGATCATATAGGTGGGCCCATAGGCCCCGGGACTCAATGCCAGGGGTGGCACAGGCAGCGACATGGGCGCCATGGCCTGGTGCTGTGAGGTCATAGGCACATCCACATACTGCCCGGTCTCGGGGTCGAAGAGCCGGCGCGTGGCGGGCTGCAGCGGCGTGTCCACCAGGTAGTATTGGCCAGTGCTTACGTCCAACAGCATCTTGCGCTGTGTCTGCGGGGCCGCCGGCTGCGGGAAAGGGTCGGCAGGGACCCCAGCGGGAACACTGGCAGGGCCTGCGGGGCCAGGCAGGCCGGGCGGGGAAAAGCAGAGCACCTGCGGCTGCGCGCCCAGTGGGAAGGGCGGTGGCTGCGGATACACGGCCGTCGGCGCGCGCTCGGGGTTGCGCGGGTCCGCGGGGGCTGCCGCGGCCTCCCGGGGGCGCTCCTGCTTGGTGCGCCAGGCAGGGCGGCCGGTCCCACTGACCAGGGCACCCTTGGGGCTCCCGGGGGCCTGGCTGCGGGCGCTCAGCGGGGGCAGGCTGCAGAGAGAGGGCGCGGAGGAGCCGGGGGGCTCGGTTCGCAGGGGCACAGCCAGGTAGTTATCACCGTCTCCAGTACCCTTCTCAGGCCCGGGGCCGCCCTTCCGAGTGGCCACCTCGTCGGGGGGCGCCTGGGTGGCGGGAGAGGGTTTGGGGGACCGGGTGCCCTGCGGCTTGATGTTGTCCGAGGAGGGCCCCTGCGGGAACTTGCCAGCGACGCCCCCAGTGGCGCTCACGGTGGATACCTGTCGGCCGCTAGGCAGCGGCGCGAGAGGCTGCGCGCGCTCCCCTATCGCGGGGACGTACAGGGACCGCGGCCGCTCTCGCGCCAGGCTCTCGAAGGCGGCAGCGCGCGCGGACACGCTGTCGGCGCCGGGATTGGAGTTCCTGCGCCGCAGGGTCCGATTTACTGAGCCGCGAGCCTCCGCTTCTCCCCCGGGCCTCGTTGGTCTCCCAGAGTCTCCTTCGCGCCGCGCCGCTGCCGCGTCCCTCTCCTCACTGGCGACGAGAGGTAGCACATGGCTGTCAGCCATCCCGGGCAAGGGGTCACTCCTGCGCTTCCACGTACTCGCGCCAAGACTGTAGCGTTCCTCCATAGACCTCACGGCGGCCGTCAGCTTTTCCAAGGCACCGCGCGCCGGAGCCGCGCCCCTGCGCTCCTCCCGCGCGTCCTCGTCGCGGAGCCGCTCGGGGGTCCTCCGGGCTGAGGCCTTGGTGACGATCTTCAGCACGGGCAGGTAGGAACCCTGCTCGGGCTTGTTGGGCGCGATGGTGGCCACAGGCAGCCTGCCGGACGCGCGGTGCACCAGGACTGTGCCTTCCGGGGAGGTCGCTCCCGCCGCACTGACGCACGCCGCACCCTGCCCTGGCGCTCGGCCCGTGCTATCGTCCTTGAGGTTGGCCACGGCCTGGCATGTGATAACCACGGGCGACAGCGACCTATGCGGCCGGGACCCTGCCAGCCCCTGCTCTGGAGTGACGCTGCCTTTGTCGCTGCTGTCGCCAGAACCTTTGATGAGCTTCCTCACGTCTCTCACCTGATGGAGCGGGCCCTGCGCCTTGGACTTGTCCCTGACGTCACGCACCTGAAACTGCGGCACCTTGTCCAGACCGTCCCCACGGAACGACCTGGGCGGCGCTCTCCCTCCATCGTCGCCTGCCCTGGAGTGGTTGGGGGCGCCGCCCGACAGCCGCGGTGTGAGCAGCTGCGCGATGCTGAAGTCGGCGCCGGGCTGCCGCACACTGCCCAGCCGGATCTTGATCTCCGGCGCCCGAGCCCGGGCCGCGGCGGGAGGCGCCTGGGCGGCTGCGTGCTTGGTAGCCTGCTTCCCCGGCGGCCTGTCCCTGGGAGCCTGCTGGATGCCGGGCACGAAGAGGCGAGACATGAGGGTGGCCTTGCCGGCAGAGATCTCCCCGAGGTCCGCCCTCCAGTCCCCTGCCGCGCGTGGCCCGGGCCTCCCGCCAGCGTTCACATCCTCCTCCGGCGCGGCAGGGTCCTGGTCCCCCCAGGAGCGGAACGCGCTGTTCCGGCTGCGCAAAAGAGCACCCTGGGAGCCGCTGTCTGACGGCACCCTCCCGGCCTCTCGGGGAGTGCGGGCCTGGAACACCGGGGAGCGCGTCCCGCTGCCCGAGACCTCGGAGCCCGCCTCGGACACGCGTGAGCTCTGCCGCTGCAGGCCGCGCGGGCGATCGGGCCCCGGCCCGGCCTCGGGCTCCGAGGACGTGTCACCGACCTCGCCGCGCTCCATGCGAAACTCGTGCTCGCGCCTCATCTTCTTGGAGATGACATTCTTGAGCAGGCTGGACGCGAACGTGGACTTGGAGTGCGTGCCGTCGGCGCGGGGCGCTGCGGTGTTCCGGGTGGCGGTGCCCCTGGCCCCGGTGGTGGCTGTGGTCTTGCTCTCACTGCATAAGCCCAGAGGCTCCAGCACGGTAACCACGCGTGGCCCGCCCTGGAAACATAGCGGCGTCTCCACGTGCTTGATCTCGCCCTCCACCTTGCTGACCACGAACTCCAGCGCCTTGCTCTGCGACCTCCGGGCCTGTGCCCGCGGCCGCTCGGCGCCATCCTGCCTCAGCCTCGCGGCCGCGCCCGCCGCACTGCCCCGGAGCAGGCTCTGCTCCACGCGCGCACCGACACCGCCGCATTTCAGGTCCAAGAAAGTGGACCAGCGCCCGAAGCCGGCCTCGGAGAGCGCAGCTGAGGACTCGCGCGAGCTGATGCGCAGCGCCTCGAAGCAGGGGTAGGCGAGGCTGCGGAAGGCGCGCGCTGTGAGGCTACGCACCTCCTGGTCCGCATCGTCCAGCTCGCTCACGGCGCTCGAGGCCCCGCTGGAGCGGTCGGCAGGTTCCCGGGAGCGCAAGGCCCCGGCGCGGGGCTGCAAGCGGGCGGCGGCCGCTGGGACGCGGAGGCTCATGGCGCCCGCACGCCCGGCGGCGCGCGCGGGGCTCTGCTGGGCGCGCCCCTGGACTTGCTCCTTTATAGCCCGCGCGCGCCCGGGGTCGCTGCTGGCCGGGCTGGGCGAGCGCGGGACAGCGGGGCTGGGCGGGGTGCTGAGGTAGCAGCTGTTGTCCTCGTCCTCCTCGGTGGCCGTGGTGACCTCCCCTGGGGTCTCGTCACTGCCACCGAAGGAGGCGTAGTCCACGAAGGAGTAGATCACGTTGTTGTCCTCGAAGTCCCAGCGGGCGGCCAGCCCCACGTCGAAATCTGCGTCCTGCTCCACCTCGCTCGGCTGGATCCCGCGAGTGGTGATGTAGTGCGCGTCCTCGTCCCCGGGGGGGCCCCGCGCGCCCCCGCCGCCCGGCCCCCCCGCGCGCCCCCGCGCCCCTCCCCCGGCCGCCTCGCGGTCACTCTCAAAGCCGAGGGACGAGGAGGAGGTGGCCGGGACTCCCGGCGAGGCTGGGGAGCCTCGAGCCCCGGGAAGGCCGTGATCTTCTGCTGCGTCTGCCGTTGAGGAGGAGGAGGAGGAAGTGGAGGGAGAGGTGGAGGAGAAGCGGTGCCCTGAGTCCAGGGGAGCCGGGCTGGCCCCGGGGGGAGCAGGGTTGTCCTGTAGGGCCGTGGCCGGGGGGCTCCCCTGTCGCCCGCCCGTCTCCAGGGCATTTGTCCGCGGCTGCCTCCCGCTGTCCCCAGAGCCGCTGGCCCTGTCTCCTGCGGCGGCCCGGCCAGTGTCTTCCATCCCGAGTCCTTGCTTGGCTCCCAGTGACAAGGAGAGGCTGTGTGGAGTGCCCGAGCTGTCCAGGGGGGACAGTGGGGCCCCGTGGGCGGGAGCTGTGGGCACCTCGGTCTCTGCTGCCACCTCCCAGGATTTCAACCCCAATGTCTTAGCCGAGGCCAGCTGGAGGGACCAGGTGGCAGAGGGGCACTGAGGCCCTGAGGGCCGCGGCTCCGGCCGAGACCGCGGCCACCGCCCTGCAGCTGAGCTGTCCAGTCCAGCAGCTGACCTGGCACCGTGCGCAGCCGGAGACCCGAGTGCCATCAGCCCCGGAAGCAGCAGCATCCGTAGGTCGACCCCTGAACTCCCAGAAATGAAAAGAAAGCATGAGCTGCTTCTAAAGCCTGATCCCTTTCCTGGATGAGGAGAGAGAGGGTCACGTCATTCCTGAAATATTTTTAGTGTCCATTTCCTACTCATTTCGAAACCACTCTTGAGGGTAGAGGGAAGGAGGCTCTGAGAGACGGGAAGAGAAGGTTAGGGGTGGCGAAGTCTGTGGGTCTCAGCTCAAATCGACCCAACGGTCTGTGTCACCTACGGCAGAGATGTCCCGCAAGGACGCAGTCATTCCTTACTCCTTGCCTTCGCTCTCCAAAGCCTCTTAAAAACCTCTGATTTTTTTCCTTTGTTCTGAAACAAAATTCAAATGTATTGTGTTCCAATTAATTAAGAACACTCCAGAAATATTTCAAAGATATCCATTTTACATATGATAGCTTTATATTTGCCTCAAAATCTGTGCATTTTGTTTCTCTTTGGAGACCAAATCAGAGGAGTTCCAATAGTAAAACTTTTCATAGAAAAAAAACATTTCATCTGTTTTTCCCAAGAAAAGTTATGCTCTGGGAGCCAGAACCTATTTGTTTCAAAATAGAAAGAATCTCCTCCAGAACCCTTAGTGTAGTCACTCACAGTATAAACAGTTTTCAAAGACCTACAACTTAACCCTTTAAATAAATATTAAATCATAAATTATAATTATAAATTTTAAAAGAGCACCTAGGGCCACACGTACATGACTTCAAATTCCTGCAATGTCTAATCCATCTCAAAAACGGTTCCTTAAACTTTAAAACCATGGCAAGACAATAAACTACCAATTAAATATAGCCTGAGCTGTAGGCCCACGATTAGGTTACTCTGGCTGCATTCCAGGCCCACAGGGAAGAACAAGGACTGTGCTTACCCTTCGTGAGTACAGTTCGGCTTGGAGGGAGGTTCAGAGAGGAAACACGAGCCACCAGCATGCCCGTGGGAGCGGAGCCAGGAGCCCTGCTCACGGGCCCCAGGCCACAGCAGTGCTGAGCAGTCCATGGTTGTGCCCAGGTCTGCCAGGCACCCATGGAGGGGGTCTACATTGGCCACCCTCTGAGCAGTGCCTGGGCACTGTCGGTGGAGATCCACTGCCTGGTTTTGGAGAGATGTGGCCCTCGTCACCTGCCAGGCCCATTTCTGACACTATACATAGTCCATGTGTCACTAATGCCGATTGAATAAAGTACTATTTTAAACATCCACATTTGTGGGAAACAAAAATAACACCATCAGCCATCCCTTTCCAACTTGAATGCCTCCTCCACACAGAAAAATGTTCCTTCCTGTGCTCTGCGTGGGCAGGTAGGACGTGGGGCCCTTGGCACCGAAGCATCCACCTTCTCACACTGGAGTCTGAGAGCACACCTGCCTGTCTCCGCACAATGGTGCCTGGAAAACATGGTGTAAGGAAAGATGGAGACAGCAGGAGTCAGGGGATGGGCGCAAAGCTGAGCTCGAGGTGACAGCATCAGAAGAAAAAGAAGCTGCACCAAATCTTAGTTTCCTGGTGATAATAATCATATATATGACTTAGGTAGTGCTCACTGTGTGCCAGGAGCTACCTGAAGCACTTTTAATGTGTGTATTTTATTTAATCTTCACCAGAACCTGATAAGTTGGGTTTGACTCTTGTACTGACTTTATAAATGGGGACACTGAGGCACAGAAACACTAGGAAATTGTGCAGCAGAACTCAAACCCAGGCAGTCTGGCTCCAGAGCCAGCATGATGCTACACCGTTTTGCTGATGTCTGCATCCCCATACTCACAGGACACCCAGATCATCAGTTAGAAGGAGCAGCTCAGCCACTGCATGACCACAAATTAACTAACTTAGAGATATTTTTCATATAATCAGCCTGTGTACACATTATGCACTCTCGGATTAAGGAACATGATCCTATAAATGAAATGAAATAAAATATAGTTGGCACCTTCAGGAAAGCAGAGTATTTTCAGTTCCTCATGTTAATTTTGCTTTGAGGCTGATGGTGCCTTGACCAGTAAACCTGATGTGGGCCTTGAGCTCTGAGAGGCACACACACTCCATAGCTGAGTGGGAGGCGGAGTTTCTGCCCATCAGGCAATTACAGTCCAAGGAAGGGTTGTTCCAGCACTTTCCATATGCTCCTGTCTGTCATGAAAACACAGAGATCTCAGCAGAGTTCTCCCTGCAGTTGGCAAACCATAAAACTAGAAGGTCAGATGCCCAGGGAATAGGTTAAAACTTAATCACTGAGTACCCAGAGTTTGAAGGAAAATCTTCCTCTGGAGTCTTGCCTCTCAGCACTAGCCAGAGAAGCAAACAGAGAGGGTGATTCTAAAACCGGTATTCACCATGTGACTCCTTTTCTGCTTTCTAAGTAAACGAATGCCATTGGAATGCCATTGTAGGAAAAAGTCTGAAGGAAGAATTTTTTCAAATAATTGTCCAAGGGGCCAGGGATATAGCCTAGTGGCACAAGTGCCTACCTGGCAAGCGCAAGGTCCTGAGTTCAATTTCTGGTACCAAAAAAACCAAAAAAATGTCCAAAGTAGTGGTTTTAATTGAAAACACAAATTCTTTTTAAAAATAAGACAAGCTGAAAATTTGCATTAGGACAGGCTAGCTGTGAAAAGGGGAAAAAATTCACAATTGGAAATACAATGACCAGCTTTAGGGAGGGTGAAGTAGAACAATTAAGAACTACAAACAGCTTGCCTCTTGGCATTCTCGGAATTCTGGTCCATTTATGTTGTCCTCAAAACTGATGCTGTCAAATCTGTTGAAGTAACTTCCCCCCATTGAGCCTTTTTATTCCTTCCTATGACTCCAGTTATTTTTTTTTCACAGATGAACTCAGTGATTGCCTACCTGACCTCAGCTCTTGAGCAACTGACAGTGACTAATGTCACCAGCATTAACCTGTAGTAAACGGGTACCCTTGCTAGACCAGGCAAGGTACATTTGGTTAACCACTTCATATGGGAATTCACAGAGCAACAAAGGAAATGGCTCAGCACCCTTATTTTTATGCCTGTAGAGAAAGTTTCTTAGCATTCCCTGGAAGCCTTATAGGATGCATCATAGTATGTAAAACTTTAACATGATTGAAGACATAAAGAATGAAGGCCAGACCATCACTAGTTGTAAAAGCATATGGGTACACTTAAGGTCTCTGAAAGTGGCATAATATAATAAAGATGTTGTTCAAAAAAATCATTTTATTGAAGGTAAGCAATGAAGAGGTAGTTAAACTTGTACTCAAACTTGGATTCAGACAGAAGCTCACTAGGCACAGGTGTCTGCAAGTTTCTGGTGTGTGAGTGGAGACAGGTATTCTTGCCTTGCCTATGTTCTGTATAAAACTTTCCATAAACATTTGTACAGCTATTTGCCCACTTGATGTGCAGGAAGCTTCTATGGCCCACTTTGTAACCTGGAGTATGGCCAGCTGCTTGCCTCTTCGCCTGGTGGCATGGATAGGAGTTACAACTGCAGGAAGGCACTCATGCTGAGGCTACCAAAGAAGGTTTAGTTATTTGGTTATTGGGGTAAACACTCTGCATATTTGTGGTCATGAGTCCTTTCACCATACTATGAAAGAGCAGTTATTATCCCCATTTTTTGGATAGAATATTTGAGGCTGAGTGAAGATATCATATGTACCCCTTTGACTCTTCATGGTCAATAAGCACAGGAGCCCTGGCTGGAGTCCAGCTTGGAGGGACTCCAGCCTACACTCTGTTAGAGACTGAGCAGCCAGTCTATGACGTGGAGGTCATAGGGCCATGTCCATGCATGCCACTGAGGCCACTTCACAGGCTCAACCAGCTGCCTACGCCCACAGAGTCCAAGAAACAGGGTAAACAGGGATGGGATTAGTATAAAACTATCTCATGAATAGAAAACAGGCATGAGCCCTGAGGACAAGCAAGCAGTACGGTTTTCTTGTGCACAGAAGAGCACAGCACTGAAGAATCAGGACATGCACACTACAGGTGCAACCCCTTAGTTCTGCCCTTAAAATTTGGAAGGGAAAGCCAGTCATGGTGGCACACACCTGTCATCCCAGCACTC